GGGTCAGTATGAACTCTACCTTGCAGGAGTTCATAAGCGCTACCTGAAGGGCGCCTTCTATGGCCTGCCTGCCCCATGGCCCCATCTTTATCCAATTAAGGATTGGATTTTATCCAATTGTTTTTATCCAATTAAGGCTAAAAACAGCTGGAGTTCTTATCCTTAATTGTAAAAGAGTCCACTTGGCAATCAAGGAGATCTAGACCCTAAAACTGTCTCTGCTGCTTCCTGACCGTATGTGGCTGTTAACTACTCTTTCAATTTTTTTTTTTTTTTTTTGAGGGAAGGTCTTATCCTGTCACTCAGGCTGGAGTACAGTGGTGCAGTCATGGCTCATTGCAGCCTTGACCTCCTGGGCTCAAATGATCCTCCTGCCTCAGCCTACTGAGTAGCTGGGACCACAGGTGTATGTCTCCACACTCAGCTGAATTAATTTTTTTTGTTGTTGAGATAGAGTCTCACTCTATTGTCAGGTTGGAGTGCAGTGGCACAATCCTGGCTCACTGCAACCTCCACCTCCCAGGTTCAAGCAATTCTCCTGCCTCAGCCTCCCCAGTAGCTGGTACTACAGGTGCATGCCACTATGCCCAGCGAATTTTCATATTTTTAATAGAGACAGGGTTTCACCATGTTGGCCAGGATGGTCTCGAACTGCTGACCTCAGGTGATCTGCCTGCCTCAGTCTCAACGTGCTGGGATTGCAGGCATGAGCCACTGCACCCAGCCCCCTGCCTACCGAGAGAGAGAGAGAGAGAGAGAGAGAGAGAGATCTTTATTTTTTTTTGGTTACTTTTTTTACTCCCCCCTCGAGATGGGGGTCTCATTATTTTGCTCAGGCTGGTCTGGAACTTCTGGGCTCAAATGATTTTCCCACCTTGGCCTTCCAAAGTGCTGGGATTACAGGTGTGAGCCACCATACCTGGCTGCAATTTCCTTTAGAAAAGGGAACTAACAAACCTCTTCCCAGGGTTGTGAGGCAGGGAAAACATGTAACTGACTCCATGTATGTGACTGGCAGGCTAGTCATAGCCTGATAAATATTGACTGCTTTTGCCAGTGCCACCACCACCACCATCGCTGTCTTCATCAGTGTCCATCTTCATCAGTGTCCAAGGCCGTTCCTGCCACCCAGTGGACTCCCTGTGTGGCATGTGGCAGCCAGTGCCACTGTTCCCTCCCTCTCTCCCTCCTCCCTGCACACCTGGCCCTAGGACTGGGAGCTCTATGGGCCGGGCAGTGGTTTGGGTGAATGGTGCCCTCTTCTGGGCATGAGAGGAAGGGCCTTCAGGGAAACCATACCTAACACTGGTGCTCCCTGCTGGCTGGGAAGCTCTGGGAATTCCTCCTGCTGGGAAGCGCAGTTTCCACCCAAGGGACACTATAGTAGTGACAACACGCAGTGGCCTGTGTGCCAAGCACCCTTGCGAGCCCTTGACAGATATTAATCTTTTTCCTCCCTCATTGTATTATTTGAGATAGAGGCTTGCTCTGTCGCCCTGGGTGGAGTGCAGTGGCACAATCTCAGCTCACTGCAACCTCCACCTCCCAGGTTCAAGTGATTCTTCTGCCTCAGCCTCCCTAGTAGCTGGGACTATAGGCGTGTACCACCATGCCCGGCTAATTTTTGTATTTTTAGTAGAGACAGTGTTTCACTATGTTGGCCAGGCTGGTCTTGAACTCCTGACCTCAGGTGATCCCTGGCTTCCCAAAATGCTGAGATTACAGGCATGAGCCACCGCACCTGATCAAAGCTCTACTTTTCTTTTCTGTTGGACCTGGATTTTGGGACTTTGCCTTTTAAGAATCTGGGAGAAAAGCTCACTTAATAGAATGAGTCCCAGGGGACTTTCAAGGGCTAGTCATCCTTGAACCTCTCACAAGGAAGCCCTGATCTCAACTGGGACCATGTTCGCCCTCCCCTGCCTCCTGCAGAATGGAGGACTGGCTTTGAAGCATCTGCATAAGTGGATGCTCCAGGTTATTTGACATTGTTAAGAGCAAAAAATTAGAATGACCAATATCTGTGGATTGTTGGGAGATTAAATAACACATCGGGGACAATAAGTCAATATGCTGTGTTATGAAAAGGTATAATGCAAAATTTATGTGTAGGCTGCGCACAGTGGCTCACACCTGTAATCCCAGCATTTTGGGAAGCCAAGGCGGGTGGATCACTTGAAGTCGGGAGTTCAAGACCAGCCTGGCCAACACGTTGAAATGCTGTCTCTATCAAAAGTATTTTTAAAAAATTAGCCAGGTGTTTGACGCGCACTTCTAATCCCAGCTACTGGGGAGGCTGAGGCAGGACTTGAACTCGGGAGGTAGAGGTTGCAGTGAGCTGAGATCGCACCACTGCACTCCAGCCTGTGTGACAGAGCAAGACTACATCTCAAAAAAAAAAAAAAAAAAAGTGCGTGTAATGCACAGGGGAAACGGATACCAGAAGGAGGCACACCGAAGTGGTGAAACACAAACTTCGAAGGACCAGCAAGTCACGCATTCAGATGGTCCTCGTCATGGCTGGCACATTGGTTGTTTCTGGTTAGTGTCCACTCTGTGTAGTTAGCACTGGTGTCTAGCACTGATAGGTCAAAATATTTTGACTTATCACAGGCTCTAAAGATCAGAGTCCTGTACTCTGGTTTCTCTTCAGATCACATAAATCTTTCGCCTTTTACTAAAGATTTCCATGGAGAGGAACAATTCTGAGTCTTTATCCAATTTTTTGAGGCCTGGTTTCAGCAAGGCCCTATTAAAAAAAAAAAAAAATCAGAGTTCTAAGCTTCCATTTTGCAGATGAGAAGCAGGCCCAGAGCAAGAGGGTGACTTAATATTGTCCCCATCACAGAGCGCAGGCTCCAGTTCTTTTCAAACTACTCAAGGGCTGGTGACTGGCTCCATCGCCAGGGGTTTCTACATCCATCCACCGATGCCAGATGAGGCTGGGAAAGGCTACCTTTCCTTCATATATCTAAAGGGAGGAAGGCCAGCCTGAACAGGGGCTGGTTTCATGATTAGCCTCTGCTCAAGATAGGGTTTCTGATTTATCCAGGCTTCTCAGAAGGGAGTTGAAGATAACAGGCAGCAGGTGTTTGCTGGCCAAGACACCCAATCCTCCCACACCCCATCAGCAAAGGCAGTGGGGCCCTGGCAGAGGGGAATCTGAGGCAGCAGCTCAGTGGGAGAGGCAGGAGGTGGCTTTGTCCTGAGGACCAAGGACAGGTGAGCTTTCTCATCCTACTTCATTCCCCCTTTTTTTTGAGTCAGGTTCCTGCTCTGTCACACAGGCTGGAGTAGAGCGACGCGATCTCAGCTCACTGCAACCTCTACCTCCTGGATTCAAGTGATTCTTGTGCCTCAGATGCCCGAGAAGCTGGGATTATACGTGTGCACCACCATGCCCAGCTAACTTTTTTATTTTTAGTAGAGACAGAGTTTTGCCATGTTGGCCAGGCTGGTGGAACTCCTGACCTCAAGTGATCCGCCTGCCTCAGCATCCCAAAATGTTGGGATTACAGGCATGACCACGGTGCCCAACCCCAACTTCATTTCCTTTTGATTTCCCTGTCCAGGATCTGAAGCTTCAGACTCCTTAGCCTCATCCTTCAGAGCCTTGTCAGCAAACCTGAGTGTACATGAACATCCCATGGAGGGTTTGTCAACCATGGCAGGGCTCTGCAGAGGTTCCAATTCAGCAGGTGGCACTGATACATAGGGTTAGGGTCTGTGCTCTGAGCAGAGACACTTTACAGAATTAGTCACCCTCATGGAAGGAAATGTTTATTTCAACATCAGCAATTTCTTCAGTTTCATTTTAGATCCTTTTGGCTAACTGCAAAGATGACTTTGAACTTCACGTTAACAAGGGCATCAGCAGAATCAATCTACACTGCTGCCTCTTCCTGATTCCTGTATTTATGCCCTGGTATTGTCAAGAATGTTCCAATTTCACTGACATCTTGGGTAGGTTCTCGAATTTTGTTTTGCTTGATTTTGATGATGACCAGATATCATTAAAACACACGCACACAATGTGGCCATTTTTTAAATGGGGGAAAGTCCCCTCAGAGGGTGATTGTGAGAATTTCTTTAGAGGGAATAATCGAAGTCCTTAAGTCCTGTCTGGCCCTAAAAAGTAGTCAATAAATGGTAGCTGTTACCAACCAACAAATGGCACAGATCATGCACCAGATATTAATTCATTAATCTCCATAAAACTTCCCATTTTGTAAATGTAAATTCTGAGGCAACTAGAGGTTAAATGATGTGCTAGGAAGTAGCACAGCTGGGTATTCCCCAACCTCTGCCGTTCAGCAGGGACCCCCCCCAGCACAGAAGAGGATGTCTTCACACACTGCCCTGCAGGGAGGGCAGCTGCTGTTCCAGCAGAGACCGGGTAGGGGCTGTGGAGGGGCTCAGCCTTGGGGTAAGAGATCAACAGTTCTCTCATGGAGCAGCTGGAGGGCAGGTCTCCCCTCCCCGAGCCCACCTAGGCATGGAAGCTGACCCTGAGAGTCCCCTGCCAACCAGAGGAAGCTGGGATGCAGTGAGCCCACTCCTTTTGCAGAACTCTGAGATTTTTTTTTTTTTTTTTTTAATTTGAGATGCAGTCTTGCTCTGTCGCCAGTCTGGAGTGCAGTGGCATCATCTTGGCTCACTGCAACCTCCTTCTCCCGGGTTCAAACGATTCTCCTGTCTCAGCCTCCCGAGTAGCTGGGACTGTAGGTGCATGCCACCACACCTGCCTAATTTTTGTATTTTTAGTAGAGATGGGGTTTCACCATGTTGGCAAGGATGGTCTCGATCTCCCGACTTCAAGATCCACCTACCTCAGCCTCCCAAGGCCCTGGGACTACAGGCGTGAACCACCGCACCTGGCCAGAACTCTGAGAATTCTAAAAACCATGAAAATGTATACTTTAAACGGTTGAGTCATATCATATGTGAGTTAGATGCCAATAAAGTTTCTATTTATAAAAAGAGTTCACTCCCCTGGCACCTCTGGGAAAAGTCTCTTTAATAAAAAAAGTTCTAGTACATCTACACAATTGTCCTCACCCTTCATCTACAGCACTCATCAGGGAAAATAAAAAATAAGGGACAACCTAGACACACTCAGTATAAAAACGCAGAGATCTATCCAAATGGGAGGCCTTGGGGTCTGGAAGCCAGAAATGCATGATGGCCAGTGGGCCCAGCAGCTCAGGGCTGCGCTTTTCAAGAACCACCTCTAACTTTTTGAAGTAACATTTTTAAAAAAATTAAGTTGCACCAGGAGGCCTAAGAAGGGTCCATTCCAGAAAGAAAGTCATTGTGGGTCAGTCACTGCTGGCCCAGGACACAGGGCTGAGCACTTTACGGCAGGTGAGAGGCTTCTGGAAACTTAGCCTGAGGCAACCCTGGCCCAGGTGAAGAGGTTTTCAGTGCTGACGTCAAACTGTCCACATTCCTCCATTTTGAAAGGCTAAGGAACCAACCCCTTTAATGTCACACTCGCAGCCTGTCTCCTCCAAGTTGCTACAGCCACTTCCTGGCAAGCTCCAAAGTCCTTGGCTGAAGAGGGGACTGAGATCCCTTGGACATGCTCTGTGGCCTGACGTTGAGTCCCCAGCCCCGCTGGGAGGTGGCCTAGTCTTCCTCCGCGCCACCATACATGTCTGCCAGCTTCTTGAAGCGGCTGCCCCACTCATTCAGATAATCATAATCTTGGTCCTGGTCAGAGGCGGAGGAAGTGAGGGAGCTCAGGGACATGGCATCAGAGCCGCTGCCCTCGTAGTCGAACACCAACAGGGAGTCGTAGGGTGGGGCTGTGGGGTCCGTGTTAGCCGCCTTCAGGTTCTGCAGCAACAGAGAACAGGTGATTGGGAGTGGCGGCCCTGCCGTCCGCTAGCTGCAAGGCTCCATTTCCTCATCTGTGAGCCCATCCCTTCCCTCCCCACTAAGGTTTTGGAGGTTGAAATGAAATAATGCGTTACTCATGCAGAATTCATTCACTCAGGGACCAGCACACAGCAAGTGCTCAGTGTAACACAGGCCAGGGGGTAAGGGCAAGGACTGAAATCCAACAGCCAGGGCCAGAACTCACCACACACCAGCTTTGTGGCCTTGGGCGAGCCCTTAATAGCTCTATGCCTGTTTCCTTGTCTGTAAAACGGCAATACTTCTTATGGTTTTTTTTCCCTTTTTGTTTAAGACAGTCTCACTCTTGCCTAGGCTGAAGTGCAGTGGTGCAATCTTGGCTCACTGCAACCTCTGCCTCCTGGGTTCAAGTGATTCTCGTGCCTCAGCCTCCTAAGCAACAGGGATTACAGGTGTTCACCACCATGCCTGGCTACTTTTTATATTTTTAGTAGAGATGGGGTTTCATTACCATGTTACCCAGGCTGGTCTTGAACTCCTGACCTAGTGATCTGCCCACCTCAGCCTCCCAAAGTACTGGGATTACAGGCGTGGGCCACCATGCCCAGCTCCTTCTAATAGTTTTTAACCACTCTGCAAGTTAGAGTTCTATGGAGGAAGAAATGAATCCTAGAAGTTAAACAAACCAGAGGTCACAAGCTGCTTGGTGGTAGAGTAAGGATTTAAACCCAGACCGAAGACTCCAGGCCCATGCTTGTTCTCCATATGGCTGGTGCTGGGCCTGAATAAGGGTAGCCCTCGGCTGGCCCACCACACCTCACCTCAATTATAAAGTTGCCAATTTCATCCGGGTTGGCTGGCCGAGGACGGTACATGGGTGTAGGGATGAAGGTTGGTGCCACGTCATTACGGAGAACCACCTCTGGCCTGGCCTCCAGACCTCGGTGGAGCTGGGTGATGTCATAGTCCTATGGGGAAATGCAGGAGAGAAGGGGATTAAGGACTTCTGTCCCCTCCCTCTCCCCTGCCACTGTCATCTCACTCCACACTCCCTAACCTTTGGATACTCTGGCTCATGGGGAGGTCTTACAAGACAGATGATGTCACAGATTTTGAAAAACCTGCATTTCCATCCTCCCTTGTCCTAGCAAATGAAACATAGAATTGAGGATAACTTGGCTAGAGCCAAGAAGACTATAGCAATGGACCAGAAGAGCACTGGGGGATAGAAGAGGAGGAAGACTCATGCGTCCTGCCAGGGTCTGGTCAACACAGCTAACTTGGTCAGCCGGTTGACCCAACGTCCCTGCCAGTGGCCTTGGGGGCATCCACCCCCCAATCCCAGAGCCCCCAATGCCCTACCTGGTCCTCTTCGCCACCTCCCTCTTCGCCATAGTAGAAGACATTGTCACGGGTGTCATCTTCTGGGAGTAGGAGGGGCTCCTTGACCTTTCGCTTCTTTCTCACCAACAAGAGCAGCACGAGCAGGAGGACTGCAAGAGTTGGGGAATGTGAGTGCTCCCTCTACAACTGCACAGGGGGCTAAGACCCCCAGGCCCTCAGAGTCCCTCTAATTTCAGACATCCTCACTCAGTAGCCAGAGCTTAACATGCTACAATGGCTTCGCTTGCACCCAGGAAAACTTCAACTCCTTATCAAGGCTGGCAGGATTTGGTACCAGCCTATGTCTCCAAGTCCCCTACCCACTAAGGTCTAGGCACATTGGCCTCCTCTGTGTTCCTCAAATACACCCAACACCCTTAAGAACTTTCATACTGGCTCCTTCCTCACCTGGCAGACTCTATGCATACACACGGCTCCCATGCATTAGTCTCAGCTTAGTATCACCTCCTCCTAAGAAGACTCTAACTTCCTTCTCCTCACCCATAATGCCATCAGTCCAACCAGATTGGTGGTACTGATCCTTAAAATCTTTTGTCAGGATGTCAAGATGGGAACCTCCCAGCAGATGCTGACTTTCAATGAGAATCTCCTTTAGTCACCACATGCCTCCTAAATTAACCGTAGATGAAGAACAAGATAATGCAACTTTCATAGGGTAGAGTAATTTGAACTTAGGTGAAATGCAGTATTAGCATTTTTTTTTTGAGATGGAGTCTCACTCTGTCGCCCAGGCTGGAGCGCAATGGCAGGAGCTGGGTTCACTGCAACCTCCACCTCCCAGATTCAAGTGATTCTCCTGCCTCAGTCTCCTGAGTATCTGGGATTGCAGATGCCCACTACCATACCCAGCTAATTTTAATATTTTTATTATTTTTATGTATTTATTTTTTGAGACAGTCTTGCTCCGTCACCCAGGCTGGAGTGCAGTGGCGTGATCTCAAATTTTTATATTTTGAATAGAGGTAGGCTTTCACCATGTCGGCGAGGCCGGTCTCTAACTCCTGATCTCAGATGATCTGCCCACCTCAGCCTCCCAAAGTGCTGGGATTACAGGCGTGAGCCACTGCACCCAGCCCCAGTGTTGGAATTTTAAGAGAGCCTGGCTTCAGTGACGTGGTCTGAAAGGCTTGTGGGCTATTTGGACATGGGGGACTGGCCAACTGGCTCCTGGCTGTCTTCTGTCATGCCTACAGACAGTCAACCCTGTATTAAGAGGGGACCCTCTAACCATCTCTCTATGGCAGTTGGATGTAAGAGCACACACTTGCTCTTCAGGAGCATTACTTTTTTGCCTGCTGATGGAACTGCTGTCTGTCTTTGGCCAGACAAAACAGACCCAACCTTCCTTGGGAGTCCATGGATTCTCAGGATGCACACGCACGTAGGACAGACCATAACTTCTCCCCTCTGAGAGGAGGCAAGATGCAAAGCGAACTTCTCTGAACCCAGAACTAACTGCCTCCACTTCGTTTGGCCTGGTAAGTCTCTTCCCACAGTCCTTCCCTAACCAGCAAATGGACACGCCATGTTTCTCCTTGCTTAAGCTGAAAGCCTTGCAATCATCGATGGCTCTTACCTTCATTCCACACATCAATCTGAAGGGACTCTACCTTGAAACATGACCACCTCAATCCTGAGCCTCCAATCACCTTCTTACACCTGGATTATGGCAATAGCCTCCTAAATGATCTCCCTGCCTCCACCTTTGCCCCCATATAGTCTGCTCAGCAGGAATCTTGCAAAACTTAAGTCAAATCACATTATTCCTCCACTCAAAACCTTCTGATAATTTTCGATTCTACCCAGTCCTCACAATGCCTACGAGGCCCGGCACCTCTCTGACCTCATTTCCTATTTCTTTTTTTTTTTTGAGACAGAGTCTCATTCTGTCGCCAGGCTGGAGTACAGTGGCACAATCTTGGCTCACTGCAACCTCCACCTCCCAGGTTCAAGCAATTCTCCTGCCTCAGCCTCCCTAGCAGCTGGGACTCCACGTGCCACCATGCCCAGCTAATTTTTCTATTTTTTAGTAGAGATGGGGTTTCACTATGTTGGCCAGGATGGTCTCGATCTCTTGACCTCCTGATCCGCCTGCCTTGGCCTCCCAAAGTGCTGGGATTACAGGTATGAGCCACTGTACCCAGGCAAGAGCGTGTTCTTGTATTCATGTGACTGATCTCTGACTGACATGAGTGTTGTCTGTGAGGACCAAGTCAAAAGGTGGAAAAAACAACTGTGATAGGTTCTATCTTTAGAGCCAAGAAATTCGTTTTTAACTAAACATTTCCTCCCACAAGAGCAGTAATTTACAAAGTCTAGCATGTATCAGAATGCCCTGGGGGCTTGTTAACATGTAGATTACTGGGTTCTATTCCTAAATTTCTTAATCAGTAAGTCTGGAGCAGGAGCTGAGAATTTGCCTTTCTAATAATAGCGAATTCTGGTGATACTAATGCTGTTGGTATATAACCACCCTTTCAGAACCACTGTGCAGGCCTCCAGACGACCTGCTGGCAGGGTGAAGTCTGTTTGCTCACCACTGTATCCCCAAAGCCTGGAACATTCCACAAGCCCCAGAAAGACCTACTGATTGACACTCCTAGAATTAAGAGTTTAAGGAGTATGCTGCGCACAGTGGCTCACACTTGTAATACCAGCACTTTGGGAGGACAAAGTGGGTGGACTGCTTGAGATCAGGAATTTGAGACCCACCTGGGCAACAGAGTGAGGCCCCCTATCTACAAAAAAATACAAAAATGAGCTGGGCGTGGTGGCCTACATCTGTAGTCCCAGCTACTTGGGAAGTTAAGCTGGGAGGATCACTTGAGCTTGGGAGGCAGAAGTTGCAGTGAGCCAAGATCATGCCACTGCACTCCAGCCTGGGGGCTACAGAGTGAGACCCTGTCTAAAAAAATGTTTAAGAGTAGACGGGCAATGTGGGTAGCCTCTTAGTTCCAGAAGTTGAAGTTCAAGGTGCAATGCAGTCTTTCAACTCCTTCATCCTCAGAGAGGGGGCGGGTGCCTGGTACTCACGCAGCAGAGCCAGGACAGCCCCCAGCACAGGGAGAATGAAACCCCCCTTCCAGGGTTCAGGGCAGTTCTTCACATGGCCGTGGCAGTCGCACACGGTGGCCTTGATCACCGTCAGCTGCTCCTTGTTGCCGTGGTCAGACAGAGAAAGGTGCACGTCGTATTCGTCCTGCTTCAGGAACTTCTTCAGGGACAAGGCCACTGTGTCACCTGGAGTGAACAGATCATTGATTAGCCACGAGATACTATGAGTTCAGGGATCTGAGTATACCATGAGTCAAGTTTGAAAATACAGCCTCCACAAGTGGGCAACGGGGAGAAATACACAAGCACACTTTGGAAAACAGCCGTAAAAGCTGATCTTTGGCTAAAGCAAAATTCACCATAATGAAAAGGATCATTGGGATAAAAAAACTAATTCATCATTTTACTTTTAAAAAATTGATAATCACAGTATTTTTAAAACATGAAGTTCTAAAAGCCATGTTATACAAGACCGATAACTTCTCTGCATCACTGGCTGCTATCCTGTTCTTTGCTTCAAAAAAAAAATTCTTCCTAAAAGATAGCTAACCCAATCTTTTTTTTTTTTTTTTAAGTAAAAAGAAGTTTATTAAGAAAATAAGGGAATAAAGAATGGCTACACCATAGGCGGAACAGCCCATAGCTAACCCAATCTTATATGAAATACCGATATTTCCAAGTGAGCATTCAATTTTTTATTTTTTTTCTGAGACAGAGTACCCAGACTGGAGTACATTGGTATGATCTCAGCTCACGGCAACCTCTACCTCATGGGCTCAAGTGATTCTCCTTCCCCAGTCTCTCGAGTAGTCTCTCATGTGCCACCATGCCCAACTAGTTTTTGTATTTTTAGCAGAGGTGGTCTTTGTGCCAGGCTGGTGTTGAGTTCCTGACCTCAGGTGATCTGCCCTCCTCAGCCTCCCAAAGTGTTGGTATTACAGGCGTGAGCCACCATGCCAGGCCGCGTTCAATTATTAATAAAATTAAATGCACATGACTTAGTTATGTAAGTGCTAATGTCAGGCAGATCAGATCAGATGCTAACCTCTGTTATCACAGCATTAGTCATCACACAAGTGCAGGATGCCAGAAATGAGGCTGCAGCAGGTATTGGGCTAACTGGCCTTCCAAGGCCCAGGGGGTGGCAGGCTAACCACAGAGCAGAAGCAAAGGCCAGCCTAGCTTTCATATTGGGCACCACTCGGGGGAGACGGAGTGGCAATCCCAGAGTGGAGAGGGGGGCTATGTGTGTGGGAGACTGGGGGACAAATATAGTATCAGCAGCCTCTCTGAAGAAAGGCCTTTGACTCAACCTTCTCAAGAAGGGAGCTGTTAGCTTGAGTGGAAGTTTTTTCATTATGCAGGATTTGCCCCAGCATTGTGGGTTTCTACCACTAAATGCCAGTAGTGCCCCCAATCACTTGGGCAATCAAAAACCACCCCCAAGTTTCTACCCCACCCACCCCCAGGCTTGGCAGCCTATCTCAGCACAGACTTCAAGTTTTTTCTGTTAAAATGCTCTGCACTCTCACTGCGCTCCTCTGAGTCAAAGGGCCAGAAGGGAGAATCCACTCTGTCCCCATTCAGTGGCAGGAGACAGAGACAGCTCTCCAGGCTGAACTAGTCTACCATGCAGAGCAGCCAACATGGGGAATATGTCCCTAAAACATCTCTAACCATCCTGTAAAGCTGATTTCTCAGTTGTTGATGATGATGGCAGTGGTGACCAAATGGACACTAAGTGCCAGGCCCTACCCTGATCCTCACCATAACTTTAAGAGGTGGGAACTGCTGTTACCCTCATTTTACAAATGCAGAAATCGAGGCTTAGGGAATTAAGAGAACTAGCCTGAAGTCACATGGGGTAGAGTCTAGATTAATTTCCCTGACAACAGGATAAGGGCAAATGGAAAAATGACATTAAAGCCAAGAACCAGGCTATCAATACTGTTATAGGTATTAATAACATTGGATTTTGGGCCAAAATGCTTATGCTTTTTTTTTTGAGATGGAGTTTTGCTCCTGTTGCCCACACTGGAATGCAATGGTGCAATTTTGCTCTGCTTCCCAGGTTCAAGCAATTCTCCCACCTCAGCCTCCACAGTAGCTGGGATTACAGGTGCCTGCCACCACGCCCAGCTACTTTTGTAGTTTCAGTAGAGACAGGGTTTTGCCATGTTAGCCAGGCTGGTCTTGAACTCCTGACCGCAGGTGATCTGCCTGCTTTGGCCTTCCAAAATGCTGGGATTATAGGCGTGAGCCACCGCACCTGGCCAACCATAATGCTTATGCTTTGACAGAGCCTGTCTGCAACTGTTGTTGGAAAATAATGGCATTTAAGATGGCTGCTCGTATCTACTAAGCAGTGATATACAAGACAAGATGCCTTTCCTGTATTCACTGATTTAATCTTTACAGTAACTGTATGGAATTTAGGTACATATATGAACCACATCCTACAGATAAGGAAACTGAGGCACAATGAAGTTTAGAAACTACTCATAGTCACAAGGCTAGTAAATGGAGGAGTCAGGTCTTTAATCAAGGCAATCTGGCTCCAGAGTTTAAGCTCTTAGATGTTATATACGGAGGAGACAAAAATGGCTTCTAGGCTACAGGGAGGTGACCGCAGACCGACTTGGGATTCCCCAAGGGAAAGGTGCTTGATATAGACACCCAGATCACAGGAATCACAACAAATCAGATAATGTGATATCTAAAGCAGGTTTCCTGAGTCATTTCTGGACTGGGCTTAGCAGCAATAGAAATTGCTGTTCAGTTTCTTTGGGCAGACTCTAAAGGCAGAGATTCCCCATTTCCTATCTGGGGGATTCCAGCCCCAAGAGTAAAGGGGAAACATTTTACACCAGGGTGAGACAGTGTTCCTGCAGGGGCCTCATAGGCACATGGGGCTGGACCTACCTTTCTCATCACCCTGGGTCCTCACCCACTCAATGCCAGTAAGACCCCTCTTTGGTTCTCATGACAACTAAAAGCAATCACTGAAAGCTGAGAACCTTGGAGCTGGTGGATCAGAAAGAGGTAGGACAAGGAGGTGGATGGCAGTTTTGCCACCTGTGAGCTGTCAGGGGCTCTAGTCAAAGCCTGACTTCAACTTCTACTACTTACCACTCTCTGCCTTCGGGCATGCTATTTAACCTCTGTAAGCCCACACTTTCAGCTGTAAATAGGGATTAAAATACTGACCCACAGAGTTTGGTAGAAAAATTAAATAAGGAAAACAAGAAAAAGCATTTTGTATTTCATCAGAGTGCAAACAATGGCAGGCAGCAGCACACCCTGGTGAGTGAAGACTGCCTAGATTAAAACCCTGGTAGGCTATGTGGTGGCTCTCACTTGTAAATCTCAGCACTTTGGGAGGCCGAGGCGGGATGATGACCTGAAGTCAGGAGTTCAAGACAAGCCTGATCAACATGGCAAACCCATGTCTCTACTAAAAAATAAAAAATCAGCCAGGCATGGTGACAAGCACCTGTAATTCCAGCTACTCAGGAAGCTGAGGCAGGGATAACTGCTTGAACCCAGGAGGTAGAGGTTGCACAGGGCTGAGATTGTGCCACTGCACTCCAGTCTGGGAGACAGAGTGAGACTACATCTCAAAAAAGAAAAAATTCTGGTGACATTATTTTTAAAGTCATAATGCTTCTGGCAAGATACTTCGGCTTCTGTAAGCCTTGTTTTCCTCATCTGTAAAATGGGTGTGTGTGCGTGCATGAGTGTGTGTGTGTATATGTGAGAGAGAGACAAATAGAAAGAGAGAGATACCTGCTCACAGGCTGCTGTGAGGATGAAGGAATCTAACCTACGTGGAGCACATGAAGTAGACCTAGCACACAGTCAGTGTGCTCAATGAGTGTTGGCTACGATCACTGTGCTGGAGTCCTGACTCTATGTGACATGGGCCAGGTCACTCCCTCCCTCCCTCTCTCCCTCCCTCCCTCCCGAGGCCTCAGTTTTTCAGGGGTCCTATGGAATTCCAAAGGCCTCCACCAGGTTAATAAACAGCATCTGAGTGAGGTTCCTGAGACCATTGCCTCTGTGCTCCACAAGATGCTAGATGCGAATGTGTGCGGAAGCCTGGTGTGGGACAGATGCCCACCAGTGGGGCTGGCACCCACCCACTACCACCACTCACTCAGGTACCTTTCTCGTTGACCTCTGCTGTCCAGTAGATGTCTGAGTCATGTGTGAGCTGGGCCTGGAAAGGGGAGGTGTGGGGAGACAGGTCCTTGTCCGTGATGTTCAGCACCTGGGGCACAGGGCTTTGGTTGCAGATGGTGATCTGACGGGGCTCAGGGACTGGGCCATGGTCGTTGACATCTGTCAGTGTTAGCAGGAGGGTTCCCGTGCCAGTGGTGGGCGGGCTTCCTGTTCATAGTGACACATACGATGAGCTCCCTGGGCCCTACCCAGTCAGCCTCAGAGAGGCTCCTGTTTACCGCCCAGCTCTCACCTCTCAAGAGCTTCCCGGCCCTTGCTTCAATACATGGCACCTACATGCCAATTGGGCTTCATTCTCATTTCGTCCACAGCAGAGAGTACTAACTGCTCATGGCACAGTTGCAGCCACTTCACCCGGGCAGCCACTGTAAGTGCAAAGTGAAACCTACTGGCTACCTCACGGCTACTCCAGTGTTTGCTGATCAGCTGCAGGGAAGCCTCCCTTCACAGCCCTGCTGCAAGCTCCCACCTTCCTGCAGGTCCTGGTTCATGACATGTCAAGCAGGGGTGACAACTACATTATAACCCCCCATCTGTCATGGTGTGGGGATTGGTTATGGCACTGTCCAGTCAGCCCCTACCAATCAATCACAAGGGAAAACTGACAGGCTAATTCAGGACTCAGTGAACCAAAAACTAAGGCTGAAGGGACTCTCCTAACTCCGATTATTTATTTATTTATTTAGAGATAGTCTTGTTCTGTTGCCCAGGCTGGAGTGCAGTGGCACAATTTTGGCTCACAGCAAATTCTGCCTCCTGGGTTCAAGTGATTCTCATGCCTCACCCTCCTGAGTAGCTGAGACTATAGGCATGTGCCATCACACTCAGCTAATTTTTTACATTTTAGTAAAGACGGGGCTTTGCCATGTTGACCAGGCTGGTCTTGAACTCCTGACCTCAGGTGATTTGCTAGCCTTAGCCTCCTACAGTGCAGGGATTATGGGCTTGAGCTACCATGCCTGGTCTTTTTAATTTTTTGTAGAGTTGGGTTCTCTGTATGTTTCTCAAGTCAGTCTTGTACTCCTAGGCTCAAGTGATCCTCCTGCCTAGGTCACTAAAAGTGCTGGGATTATAGGCCTGAGCCACCACACCTGTCTCCCTCCCAATTCTTGGGTTTTAGGGAAATTGGAATGCTAAGAGAAGTCTTTAAAAGACTCCTCTGAGGGCCAGGCACGGTGGCTCATGCCTGTAATCCCAGCACTCTGGGAGGCTGAGGCAGGTGGATCACGAGGTCAGGAGTTCGAGATCAGCCTGGCCAACATGGTAAAACCCCATCTCTTAAAAAAAAAAAAAAGACTCCTCTGAAAGACCCCTTTGACCATCTGGATTGGTTTGCAAATAGCCCTCCCTGATACCATACCCTGCCCGTGGAGGGAACATGCTGTGTTGTGTCATGTGACCTGAAAACCAAAAGTGACCCTTGTGGGAGGGCTGGGAGGATGCTCTCACCATTGTCCATGGCCAAGACCATGACTTCATAGATGTTGTTCCTCACAAACTGCTCATCCTCACGGTCTAGGGTACCTGCAGCAGTGACCTGCCCACTATCTGGGTCCATGGCTAGCCACCCTGCTGGATCTCTCAGGATGTGGTAGCTGAAGAGGAAAAGTCGAGATCAGTCACATCCAGAATATTTAAAATTCTGATGTTGTCATTCAAGGCCTCCTCATACCAACTGGTGGATGGCCTCTGGGCTCCTAAGCAGGATCATATGGAAAATGTACCTCGCCCATCAATGGAGGCCCCTGCATTTGCAGGGGTCCCAGCAGAGGTACATGACAGAGTGAGAAATACCTGCCCTCGAACCCCTATTCAGTCTTCAGTCTCAAAGAGGGTAGGAAGAGGACCTACACAGGAGGGATACTCCTATTTAACAAACTCTGTGGTAACCAGAACAAATGCTGGCCATAATAACCCACCCACCCAACATACCCATGTATGTTGCTCACTGAGCCCAGCTCCTGAGTACCTGATCTTCTGATTCTCCTCATCAGGGTCTTGCGCAGTGTAGACACACACGGGGTCCCCAGTGGAGATGCCCTCCAGGACCTCAACAACTTTGGATGGTGGGACAAACACAGGTGCCTCATTCACATCCTCCACATGGACCACTATGGTGGCTGTGGAGGTTGGGAGCTTCAGCACAAGGGGAGCCTCATTGGTGACTTCAACGTACAGGGTGTGCTGGTTTTTGGCCTCAAAATCCAAACCCTAGAAGAGAAGTGAACAAGGACCTGGACCAGCATTTTGAGAGGAGGCCCTGTACAGCTGAGATGTCAGAAGAGCCAACACTGAGGGGCTTGAGGCCCCCACTAGCAACAGTGCTGCCCCTTCCCTGTCCCATATACACTCCTGTGTTTCCTCAGTGCACATCTAATGGGGCCTCTCAGACCATCCTAAAGGTAACTGTATTAATAAGCCCTAGAACACCGATTCCAAGTGGAGTGGTGGAGATGTTTGAGAAAATTGAGGGGCCTGGTGTTGTGGCTTATGACTATCATCCCAGCACTTTGGGAGGCCAAGGCCAGTGGATCCCTTGAGACCAGGAGTTCAAGACCAGCCTGGGCAACATGGGGAGACCCAGTTTCTACAAAAATACAAATATCAGCTGGACATGGTGGTGCATGCCTGTAGCTTCATCTACTTGGGAGGCTGAAGTGGGTGAATCATTTGAGCCCAGGAGGTTGAGGCTGCAGTGAGCCAAGACTGTGCCACTGCACTCCAGCCTGGGTTGATATACCAAGACTCAAAACAATACAAAACAAAACAAAATTGTGGAAGCATTTCTAGTTGTCAAAATGACAGGATACCACTGGCATTTACAGGCTGGGGCAGGGATGCTGTGGTCCCAGAATCAGAATGTTACCAACATGATGAGCTGTCCCATATCCCATGTGACCTGTCAATATCCCCATGGACACTGATATGCTCCTGGATGTGAAAAATCTGTTTAGTATTATTAGAGGCCAGAAAGGGTTTACATATAAGCCAAGTTTTTGTGTGGTTTTGGTATGTACTTCATTTTCCAGGAATGCAACTACTGAGGGGAGGCCATGTTTTAATTTGTTCAGGACTTTCCCAAGATTGCTTCTTCACTGTTCTGAAGACATCAACATGACTTGCAATCTGAGCTGCCAGGATAACACAGGGTCCGCGCTACATTTGGATGATTCTACAAATGGATGTGGGGAACTGATCACTTAATTATGCTTTCTAGTATAGTTGTGCCCAAAATTTTACATACTAAAGTATCTTACATTTAATAACTTTTTGTACAATTTTTAATTTTTGAGACAGGATCTTGCTCTGTCACCTAGACTGGAATGCAGTAGCTCAATTACGGCTTACTGCAGCCTTGACCTTCTGGGTTCAAGTGATCTTCCCACTTTAGCCTCTAGGGTAGCTGGGACTATAGGCACATGCCACTGTACTCAGCTATTTTTTTTTTTTTTTTTTAAAGACGAAGTCTCACTCTATCACCCAGGCTAGAGTGTGGCGGCACAATCTTGGCTCATTGCAACCGCTACCTCCTGGGATAAAGTGATTCTCCTGACTCAGCCTCCCAAGTAGCGGGGACTACAGGAGCATGCCACCACACCCAGCTAATTTTTGTATTTTTAGTAGAGATGGGGTTTCAACATGTTGGCCAGGCTGGTCTCAAACTCTTGACTCCAAAGTGCTGGGATTACAGGCATGAGCCACAGTGCCCAGTCCCAGCTAACTTTTTGTACTTTTAGTGTAGACAGGATTTCTCCATGTTGCCCAGGCTGAATTTTTTTAGTTAGGACATTCTCTATTTCTAGGAATTATGAGTGAGGGTAGTTATACTATAAATGAACTTCATTTCACATCATTTAACAATGTCAAAGTGGCATTATAAAGTATTATTGCAGAAAAGGGGACAGCAAACCCCAGTCTTTAAAATATTATTATTTTATGCCCTGCTTCTCAAACCACACAATTCTTCATAGTAACCCAGGAAGTAAAGAAACTGATGCCCTATCATCTTCTTTTTTTTCTTTAGTACTGATGAGATCTCAAACTCCTGGCCTCAAGTGATCCTCCTACCTCAGCCTCCTAAAGTGCTGAGATTATAGGTGTGAGCCACTGCCCCCAGTCTTATGCAGACTTTTTGACCCAATGTATGTCCTATACCCCAATAAAAACAAAAATACACACACGCAAAAGAGATTTTTTAAGAGGTAAGAGTGTGCAAAAGTACTATGTGATTTGAAACATTATCTAAACACCTAGACATGAGTTTTAGAGTAAATGCAAAGTTAACATGGATATCAATAAAATGGACACTCTATGTGAGACTGATTTGGGGTGGCCACCGGACACACTGGTCTGAGAGGAGGGTTCACTGATCTGCTTCAATTAGATCAGTGATTCTTACCTATTTATGAAGTGGGCTCCTGGGTAAGATTTAGTTTGAACAAAGGGACTCCTCAACCCAAGAGTGGTAGAACAGCATTGGGAGCCTCTGGGCTGGTATGATTTCTGGTGACCAGCCCATGGTAGGCAGTGGCTCCTTGTCCTGAAGGCTGCAGACCTGACTGCCCCAGGTATAGCCATTGTCTAAACCCCGAACTGACTCACCTTCCTAGTTGTCAGGATGCCCTGGTTGCTCTCACGGTGGGTGGTGATGGTAAAATGGTCCTCATCATCACCGCCCACGATGCGGTAGGTGGCACGCCACGCTGGTGAGTTGGGGGCGTCCAGATCAGTGACTGTCAGCCTCTGCACCTCATGGCCTACTGCATTCTCAGGCACACGGGCCTCGTACTGTCAGTGTGAGAAGCAAAGAGCTATCAGAGTAGAGACAATGACCGTCCCACTCCAGGGGCTGGGAAGCCTCCATCCAACCTCAGGGGATCCCCATGCCTTTATCCTTTCCTTGACCACCCACCTACTTTGAGGGGTTTCAGGGTACACACAGCAGCAGGATGTCCCCAGCATCAGCCTCATAGCTGCTGGCACAGACCACACCAATCCTGCACCTGCTATCCCTACACAGGGACCTGATGTTCTCACTGGTTTGCATGCCTAAGCCCCTGCAACGTGTAGCTACCTATCCAGCTGAGATCAGAGTAATAAGGAAGGTGGCAAGAAGGGCTAGGTGCCTGAATTGGCTGGAGCACTGAACAGGAATTTTTTTAGAGGTTCTGGGACAGGTGACAAAGACTGGGAAATCAGTTGCTCAGACACTTTTTTTTTTTGAGACAGTCTCCCTCTGCCACTCAGGCTGGAGGGCAGTGGTGCAATCTCGGCTTACTGCAACTCCACCTCCCAGGCTCAAGCAATCCTCATGCCTCAGCTTCCCAAGTAGCTAGGACTACAGGCATGCATCACTGCACCTAGTTAAGTTTTTTATTTTTAGTAGAGATGGGGTTTTTGTTTTTAGTAGAGATGCCATATTGTCTAGGCTGGTCTTCAATTCCTGGCCTAAAGTGATCTGCCTGCCTTGGCCTCCCAAATTGCTGGGATTACAGATGTGAGCCACTGTGCCTGGCCTCGTTACAAATTTTTAATCAGCCCTAACTAACGTTCAGAGCTGTCTAAAGATGGAAGTGAGAGGACATGACTGGCACCTTGACTGGCACTGAGTCCTCTGCCTTGGAGGTGCACAAGCATTCACTGGGAAAAGATGGGCAGGTATAGGTACAAGGCAAATATATTTTCATAGCAACAAAGATTTTCATATCAAGCAATTATTTTCAGGCATCGTGTAAAGAAACGTACATAGATTATTTTATTTGAAACTCAGAACAATGCAGTGGGTATTATCATTATCTCCTTTTCACAGATTAGGAAATGGGGCACAGAGAGGTTGGGTAGTTTTCCTAAGGTCACACAGACATAGTGCTGGGACTGGCATTTGAAGCAATATAGACTGGTTCCAAAATTTCCTCAGAAAGACAAACCTTGGTCCTTTGTTATCTGATGAGGTACTGAGTGAGGAAGGGGCATTACCTTCTGGGGGTCAAACACAGGAGTGTTGTCATTGACATCGAGGATCTCCACTATTGCCACCGCTGTAGTGGTGGAGCCGTCCCCATCCATGTCTGTGGCCTGGATGGTCAGTGTGTACTCAGGGACTTTCTGGGGAGAGGGAGAAGAGAGGAGAAGCCCATTGTGGGTTCAGTCTGAAGGGTCCCTCCCCTGAGCTCCAGGAAGCACTGGCTCAGGGGTATGTGGATAGAGAGGAGTGTCTCTCCCTATCGTAATGCTGACTCCTTCACGACCCTTTGCCCACTGCCAGGAGAACAGATGCAGAGGGTGTTGATGGAAAGGGAACCAGAGAGCCAAACCATTCTCCTGGACCTGTCCTAGGAAAGCCTGGGCATTGCCCCCTGACCCTTGACTGCTCCAGAACGAGTTTTTTTTTTTCTTTTTTCATGCAGACGAGTTTTGCTTTTCTTTTTGAGACAGGGTCTCGCCCTGTTGCCCAGGTTGGAGGGGTATGTATGATGTTGGATCACTGCAACCTCCTCCTCCCAGGTTCAAGTGATTTTCCTGCCTCAGTCTCCCAAATAGGATTACAGGTGCCTGCCACTATGCTCAGTCAATTTTTGTATTTTTAGCAGAGATGGGGTTTCACCATGTTAGCCAGGCTGGTCTTGAACTCCTGACTTCAAGAGATCCTCCCGCCTCAGCCTCCCAAAGTGTTGGGATTACAGGCATGAGCCACCATGCCTGGCCTCAGGACAAGAGTTTTGAGTGAGGATTTGGGTAAAGGGATTAATTAGGAAGCAGGCGGCAACTCCAGTATCCATGGAGCTAATTCTACTTTGTGGCACACAAGGGACCAATTTGGGTAATGTGCACACTAAGTGAGCCACTCTAAAAGGAAATGAGAAAACCTACAGAAAATACCAAAAGCAGGCATTTTATAGCTGCCTCCCAGTCCTGGAGATTTAACAAGATTGGCTGGCAGTGGGCCACGGACCCAAGGGAGCCAGGGGCATCCGCATGTGAACACAGCAGCAGCCATCCCAGCTGACGTGGGTCCTCATTGTTCTGCCTTGGGCTTTGTGGGCAGGGACAGGAGCTTCTGCTGTCAGAGTCAGACCCCAGCCTGGGCAAGTCTGGGTAGACAGCACTTTCCATAAGGGCCACTCACTTCCCGGTCCAGGCCACTGGAGATGACGCTGATGGTGCCTGTGTTCCGGTGAATGGTGAACATGAGGTCGTGTGGATCCTTTGGTTCTTGGCTATGGATGGAGTAAGCAACCACCCCATTGTAGGTGTGGATGGCATCATCCTCATCTGTGGCTGTCACCTGCATCACAGAAGTACCTGGAGAGAAAGGTGAGTATCTTTTCTCCCCGCTCCAACTCCAGCTCTGTCTACTTCTAGAACTCTTTTTTGTGAGTGTGTGATGAAGTCTCACTCTGTCAACCAGGTTGGAGTGCAATGGTGCGATCTTGGCTCACTGCAAACTGCCTTCTGTGTTCAGAAGTGATTCTCCTGTCTCAGCCTCCCAAGTAGCTGGGATTACAGGTGCCTGCAACCATGCCCAGCTAATTTTTTTGTATTTTTAGTAGACACAGGATTTCACCATGTTGGCCCAGCTGGTCTTAAACTCCTGATCTGAAGTAATCTGCCCGCCTTGGCCTCCTGAAGATCTAGGGTTACAGGCATGAGCCACTATGCCCAGCCTCCATCAGCCACATTCTAACACACCTCCAGTCTGCTGTGGCTGCCATGCACTCAAGAGACTTGTGGTAGGTGCTCTGTATTACGTAAGTCTGCACATAGTATTTCTAATCTTCTGCACTCTTCAAGGTTGGTATTGTTCCCATTTTTAGATGTGAGAATTGCAGCTCAGAGGTCAAGAACATGTCCAGGATCGCAGCCAGTAAAAACGCAAAGCCAAGATTCAAATCTAGGTCTTTGAAGCTCAAAAGCTAGTGGCTCCCAAGCTTGGCTGATCATCTGAAGCTTCAGGGAAAATTTCAAATATACAGATTCCAGAGCTCTGCTCCAGGATCATTCTTATTCAGGAACCTTGGGATAGAAGGGGGGAATCTGGATTTTTAAGTAGACCCTTGATAATCTGATACACAGCCAAGGAAATTAGGTATGGTGGGATCTTCTAGCATTTAAGGGTGTGGGCCCAGTAGCCCCACAGCAGTCCCCTTCCCAATCCTCTTACCTGGCAGGACCCCCTCTAAGACACTCCCTCGGAAGATGTCCTGGGTGAACTTGGGCTTGTGGTCATTTTGGTCAGTCACGATGATGGAGATGTTCATGGGGTGCTCCACTGAGGAACCGTTCTCTGACACAGCATAGCCAAAGAGCTGTGGGGTACACAGCTCTGGAGTCAGCCTGGTGCTACCTACCTCACCAGGCCTAGGACCCCACTTCTGAGGAGATATTTACAGTAAACACTAAAGGCTACTTGCCTCATACTTGGCAATCTCCTCCCGGTCCAGTGGCTTATTCAGCAACAACCAGCCTGTCTCCTTCTCCACAGCGAAGACACCCTCAGGGGGGCTATCGGCCCCCGGCCCCGTGATGCTGTAGAAAATCTTGGTGTCTCTATCTTTATTAGACTTGAGCTGGAGTAAAAAGAAAATGGCAGCTGACAAAGTAACAAATATCCCATGACTGTGACAAAGAATCCTCTGTGAAGAGGGATACTGCCATAGTAGAATCTGCTCACATAGGAGAGGTTTTCCTCTCCAGGCCCCCACATTCAGTAGCAAGAAATCTCACATGCAGGCCTTTGGATGGGGGTTCCTGCAGTCACCAGTGACTCCCAGCAGAAGGCACAGTCATACCTGATTCAGCCTCTGAGGGAAAGGACCCTTGCCGTTTTCAGGGACAGATATTGGAGCAACCACCCATTCTCTCTTGTGTCTTCGTAAGATACGTTTGGATGGGAAGATCTTCAACGACTTCCTTTCCTTTGGTGACTTTCTTTCCTGCAAGGAGAGAAACCCCTTAAACTGGATGTGCAAATAGCTGGGACACATTCAACATCCTCTCATCTGTAAGAGTTAAAGGTAGCTGAGCATAGTAGCTCACACCTATAATCCCAGCACTTTGGGAGGCTCACTTGAGCCCAGGAGATCGAGACCAGCCTAGGCAAGATGGTGAGACCCTATGTTAAATTTTAAAAAAAGAGTTGCCGGGTGTGGTGGCTCATACCTATAATCCCAGCACTTTGGGAGGCCAAGGAGGGTGGATCACGAGGTCAAGAGATGGAGACCATCCTGGTCAACAAGGTGAAACCCTGTCTCTACTAAAAATACAAAAATTAGCTGGGCATGGTGGTGTGCGCCTGTAGTCCCAGCTACTCGGGAGGCTGAGGCAGGAGAATTGCTCGAACCCAGAAGGCAGAGGTTGCAGTGAGCTGAGATCGTACCATTGCACTCCAGTCTGGGTAACAATAGCGAAACTCCATCTCAAAAAAAAAAAAAAAATAAATAAATAATAGAAAAAGAGTTAAGGGTAAGGAGACCTAGATGGGCCTATTATTGCAAGAGAAATTGGGTGTTTACTTATAGAGGAGGACCAGTGAAATATACTATAGCACATCTACCTAGTGGAATACTATGCAGCTCTAAAAATAAGAATAAGTATGCTCTCTATGTGCCAACAGGGAAAGATCTTTTTTTTCTTTTTTTTTTTGAGATGGAGTCTCGCTCTGTCACCCAGTCTGAAGTGCAGTGATGCAATCTCGGCTCACTATGACCTCTGCCTCTTAGGTTCAAGCAATTCTCCTGCCTTAGCCTCCTGAGCAGCTGGGATTACAGGCATCTGCCACCACACCCAGCTAATTTTTGTATTTTTAGTAGAGATGGGGTTTCACCATATTGGTCAGGCTGGTCTCGAACTCATGACTTCAAGTGATCCGCCTTCCTTGGCCTCCCAAAATGCTGGGATTACAGGCATGAGTCACCATGCCCAGTCTGATCTTTGATATATGTTGCCAAATGAAAATATTAAGGTATAGGGCAGCTTAATATAGTTTCATCATTTCATTTAACAAACACATTGTGCTTAATACATACCAGGCACTGTTCCATCTTTTGTGTAAAAGGGTATGAAATAAGACCCTATAGTCATATTTTCTTATACATGGATGAAGTCTGGGAGAATACAGAAAAAACTAATATTGGGAAGAGGGTAGACATTGGGCTGATATACTGGTAAGTAGAAAAAGAAAGGTACAGACATGTGAACAGTATCCTAGCTTTTGCATAAGAGGGAAAATAATTGTTTTGTTTTGTTTTGTTTTGTTTTGACTCGGTCTCTCAGGCTAGAGTGCAAAGGTGTGATCTCAGCTCACCACAACCTTGACCTCCTGGGGGTTCAAGCAATTCTCCTGCCTCGGCCTCCTGAGTAGCTGAGATTACAGGTGTGCACCACCATGCCCCGCTAATTTTTCTATTTTTGGCAGAGATAGGGTTTCACCATGTTGGTCAGATTGGTCTCAAAGTCCTGACCTCGTGATCCCTCACCTGCTTCAGCCTCTCAAAGTGTTGGGATTACAGGTGTGAGCCACCACACCCAGCCCAAAATTCTGTTTATATATACATATATATATATATGAAATAGATAACATGTAAAATATAAACATGTAACACATATAAGTATAGACTATTTATAAACTCTGGAAGGAAAGAAATTGGGAACTGTCATTAACTGTCTTCTATTGGACTGGAGAAGAGGGCTTTAGGCAAATGGAAGCAAACAAGGGGAGATTATTTATTGTATAGCTTATTAATACTTTTTATTTTTGAACCACATGGCTATATTAGCCACTCAAAAATTAAAACAAAGTGTGGCCAAGCACCCCAGGTGCCTCTTCCTTGAAGCTCATGGAATTGGCAGGCCTGCACTTAGAACTACCTTCAGTTGGGGTTAACATGGATGATAAGGGAAGGAAGTAAAGGGAGGTAGGAGAGGGAATCTAAGGGGCCTAGCACACTCGGTGATTACTCACAAGGCAGCTCGTGGCTCTACTGGCCTGACCTTAGGCACCGCTGCTGCGTAGCTGCAAGCACTACCCCCCTTAGATAAGTGCTCACACCCAAGCTGTGGGCAGCTGAGGACTAACACTAGCTCCTCTGAAGGGGTGACTTGGCTCACAATGGCCACAGCAACCAAGCGCTCCTGGCCAGCAGCAATCTGGGCATGCACAGAGAACATCTTTCTTTTGTCCTGCAGGTGGACATGGTGTTTTACCTGGACTGTCCTGCCATTCAGCATAGTGAAGTCGTCATTATCAGTGTTAAACAGAGCCAGCTCTTGCTGCCCACGGCAGCCCGCAAATACTGTGGGGAAAGGGAAAAGAGAGTATTAGGAGGGCAGGAGTATTCTGGAAGTTGCTCCAGGAAACAAGACTGACAAGAGTCCCCTGACTGGATTAAGGACTGTTATCAAGTGGCTGAAGAAGGGGGACTTGGCTTACTTCCTCTGACCAGCAGTGTGACTAACAAGTTTCAGATGAGGCTTCCAAGTTTGGTTTTGAGAGGGAAGATTGCCTCGTGGTCAGTTTGTGGGCCAAACTCTTCTTTGTTTATGAGCCCAGAGGACCAATATCATAGACATTCAGGGACATTAGCCCCAGGTGGTCTCATGTGACATGGGGTTGACTAAGGTCATAGCTAAAGGCAGAAGATTTTCTGAAAGCCACCAGTCTATATATTTACATAGAAAAAAAAGGGGAGAGAATATACCCACACAGATCACTGAGTCAACTTTTGGTTGTTTTAGTTCATTTCACTCCTTCTGAATACCCCCCTGCTTGGTTACTCTTTCAACAAGCACTCCGCCTTAGTAACCACTATTTACCAGCTAGAGGTGAATTGCTTTTTTTTTTTAAGGTGGAGTCTCACTCTGTCTCCCAGGCCAGAATGCAGTGGTGCAATCTCAGCTCACTGCAATCTCTGCCTCGTGGGTTCAAGCAATTCTCCTGCCTCAGCCTGAGTAGCTGGGATTACAGGTACACACCACCATGCACAGCTAATTTTTGTATTTTTAGTAGAGACAGGGTTTCACCGTTGGTCAGGCTGGTCTCGAACTCCTGACCTCATCATCTGCCTGCCTCAGCCTCCCAAAGTGCTGGGATTACAGGCGTGAGCCACCGTGCCTGGCCTAGAGGAGAATTTTATCCTTACAACTATGCTACCAGGATAGGTATTATCTCCCCTTTTTTTTCTTTTGAGACAAAGTCTTGCTCTGTCACCTCTGCTGAAGTGCAGTGACATGATCTCAGCTCACTGCAACCTCTGCCTCCTGGGTTCAAGCAATTCTCCTACTTCAGTTTCCTGAGTAGCCAGGATTACAGGCGCGTGCCACCACACTCCTATATTTTTTTTTTTTTTTTTTTTTTTTTTTTTTTAGTAGAGACGGGGTTTCACCACGTTGGCCAGGCTGGTCTCAAACTCCTGACCTCAGGTGATCTACCTGCCTTGGCCTCCCAAAGTGCTGGGATTACATATGTAAGCCACTGCATCTGGCCTCTATATAAATTTTTTAAAAATTAGCTGGGCATGGTGGTATGCACCTGTCCCAGCAATGTGAGAGAATCAGGTGGGAGGATCATTTGAGCCCATGAGTTTGAAGCTGCAATGAGCCATGACTGCCCCACTGTACTCCAGCAAGACTCTTATCTCTTTAAAAAAAAAAAAATAGAATTTACCAGGGGCTAGAGATAGAGAGAAGGGAGGGGAACTAGTATCTAATGCCTAACGAGTATAGCGTTTCTGTGGGGATGATAGAAAAGCTCTGGAGATAGGTAACGGCAATGCTGCACAGCACTGGGAACGGACGTAGTGCCGCTGAATTCTTTACTTAAAAATGGTTGAAATGGTCAATGTTATGTTATGCCTATTTTAACACACACACAAACAAAAGTCTGATATGGGAGGACAATCACTCTGGAAAACAATTTGGCAGTACAAATTGATATATGAATTCCCTAAGACCCAGCAATTCCACCGTGATGTACAGACCCAACAAAAATACACTTGCCAACATATGTATTATAAGGTTCATATCAGAAATATTCATAATACCTAAACTGGAATCAGCCCAAACGTCCATCAAGGGAGAATGGGTAGAAACACTGTGGTATAGTCACATAATGAAGTGATGAACCACAAGGACAGGCAACAACGTAGGTAATATAACAAACATAAGGTTAAACAGTAGAAGCCAGATACGGGAGGACATACGCATGATTCCACTGACAGAAGTTCAAAACCAGGCAAAACTAATCTAGGCAAAGAAACTTAAGATACTGGGCATCTTTTAGGCAGCAAACTCAGTGAATGGAAGAGGACAGAGGGGGTCGGACACCATAAAGAGCTGCCTCAGAGCCCAAGAGCTTACCACATACAGAAGGATCCTCTGTGGGAAGGCTGGAACGTGATCATGAGAAAGAGAAGATTGCTTAGGAACCAGCCCTGCCTCCTTGACAACATTCCCGCTGAGGAGTGCTGAGCTGTGATGTGCTTGGCCAGTGGGAGGAAGGGGAAAGGAGACCGAGGCTTGATTCAGTTCCAGAGGGTCCCAGGGGCCACATGATCCCCAGGGTGGCCCTGCCCTTTATTGCCAGCACACAGCTTTACAGACTCATCTTCTGAGGAACTCTGCTTTGCCTTAGTGCTAGAAAGACCAGGAAGGATATGTGGCAAAGGTCAAATCATCTTCAATAGAGGGCACAAGTTAAATAATCTATGGGGGCACTTATTCCATGGGGTATTTATCCAGCTATGCAATGTAACAGTTTATACAGGGAAATTCTTATACTATGCTAGTAAAACAAGTAAAATGTAGAACTACTATAAAGTATGTATAATTATACACAGAAAAATGATTGGAAGGAAACGAACTTTCCCAATGATTAGGGTTACCAGAAACTTAGGTTCAACCTCACCGCAATAATCATTCCACCATGACTACCTGCTGGCAACTTTTTTCTCAATTTTTCTGTAGGTCCAAGTTTTCCCTTAACATGAGCTGTGTCCCTCCAAAATTCATATGTTGAAGTCCTAATCACCAGTACCTAAAATGGCAATTATATGTGAAGATAGGAAGTTTAAAGAGGTAACTAAGTTAAAATGAAGTTGGCCAGGGGTGGTGGCTCATAGCTATAATCCCAGCACTTTGGGAGGCCGAGATGGGCACATCATCTGAGGTCAGGAGTTCGAGACCAGCCTGGCCAACACAGTGAAACCCTTTCTCTACCAAAAATACAGAAATTAGCCAGGTGTGGTGGCCTGCATCTATAGTTCCAGCTATCTGGGAGGCTGAGGCAGAGAATTGCTTGAACCTGGGAGGCAGAGGTTGCAGTGAGCTGAGATCGTGCCACCTCACTCCAGCCTGGGCAACAGAGCAAGACTCCATCTCATAAAAAAAAAGGTAAGATGAAGTCAAAGTAGGCCCTAATCCAGTATGACTGGTGTCTTTAGAAGAGAAAAGGTTTGCTTTGGACACAAATAGTTACAGAGAGAAGACCATGTGAAGACACAGGGAGATGTCCATCTATAAGCCAGAACTATAAGAAAATAAATTTATGGGCCAGGCATAGTGGCTCACACCTGTAATCCCAACACTTTGGGAGGCTGAGGCAGGCAGATCATAAGGTCAGGAGTTCAAGACCAGTCTGGCCAACATGGTGAAACCCCATCTCCACTAATAATACAAAAAATTAGCTAGGCATGGTGGCACACGCCCATAATCTCAGCTACTTGGGAGGCTGAGGCAGGAGAATCACCTGAACCTGGGAGGCAGAGGTTGCAGTGAGCGGAGATAGTGCCACTGCACTCAAGCCTGGGCAACAGAGCACAACTCCATCTCAAAAAAAGAAAAAAGAAATTTCTGTTGTTTAAGCCACCCTAGTAACTAGTACTTTGCTAGCAAACCTAGCAAGCAGATATCAAATCTCAGCTGGGCATGGTGGCATGCAACTGTAGTACCAGCTTCTTGGGAGGCTGAGATGGGCAGATTGCTTGAGCCCACGAGTTTGAGTCCAGCCTGGGCAATATAGTTAGACCATGTCTTTTCAAAAAAAATAAAAATAAAAAAATACATCCATTTCAAATCCCTCCCCTCCTAAATTACTGTTAATAGATAACATCTATGTAGTACTACTATTTTTTTTTTTTTTGAGACATAGTGTGTTTTGTAAGGTTCTGGGGGTCCATACATTCATGGTTGAGCATTACCCACCATTTACTACATAAGGAAACTAGGGCTGGGGGTGAGGGGATGATGAGATGACTTGCCCAAAGTCTAACAGTTGGTGCATGGAATTAGAATGAGAACCCAGGGTGGTCAGGTTCTGAAGCCAGGTTCTTCAATGCGGCATTCATTCAGTACTTAAATGCTTCCTGTGTGCCAATGACATTCTTTTAGACACTAGGAATATACCAGGAAACCACAGTATCTACCCTCAAGCATCTTTGAATTTTTATGGAATACTCCAAAATCACCATGCCTTAGCTATCTAACCAAATTAACACCACATCAATCGTAATAGCAAAAGTTCAGATACAATCTAAATGTCCATCAATAAGGGATTACTTAACTTTGTGTTATGCCAACATCTATCCAATGAAACACTAAGCAGCCATTTAAAAAAGACACAAAAGACAAGGAAGCTCCTATTCTGTATCTATATGGAAAGATCTCTAGGATATATTGTTCATTTTTAAAAATTATACCCGTTATAAAAAGGCATAGAGCAATATATCTGGAACCTATGCTAACATTCATTCATATTTTTAAATTATATTTGTAAAATAGCTCTGGAAGGCAACCCAAAAAACTGGGCTTATGGACAAGAATGAGGCTTTTATTTTAAAAATTATTTTTATTTTTTGAGATGGAGTCTTGCCCTGTCGCCCAGGCTGGAGTGCAGTGGAACAATCTTGGCTCACTACAACCTCCACCTCCTGGGTTGAAGCAATCCTCCTGCCTCAGCCTCCCAAGTAGCTGGGATTACAGGTGCCCACCACCATGCCCAGCTAATTGTTTTTGTATTTTTAGTAGAGACAGGGTTTCACCATGTTGGCCAGGTTGGTCTCAAACACCTGACTTTAGGTGATCTGCCTGCCTTGACCTCCCTAAGTGCTGGGATTATAGGCGTGAGCCACTGTGCCTGACCTTCAACATTATTTTTAAACAATGAGACATGGTCTATTTTTGCCCAGGCCAGTCTGAAACTCCTGGGATCAAGTAATCACCCAACTTCAGTCTCGCAAAATGCTAGGATTATAGGCATGAGCCACCATGCCTCGCTGAGGGAGAAGACTTTTTAACTGTA